TTAAGTAATTCGAGAAAATAATATCCATTTAAATAACAATCCATAATAAAACAAACCAAAACCAAACAAATTATTTCAAATACTTAGAAAAATTGTTCAAAATTAAACCATAAACCTAGCAAAATAAAGGGTAGGGCCGGGCACTCCTAGTGGGTTTGGCGACTAGGGGTAAACACCCTAAATACATGTCTATTTTATTCATCCATAGGCGCTGACGCCTCCTGGAAATCAGATATCTCCATTGATGTAGTTGCATCCTCCGGATGATCTGCATGTGCAAAGTTAGACTTATGACGGGAATGATACTTGGCAATAGCCTCAGGGGAAGCTCGGCATACGCGTGACCAATGATCCCTTGATCCACATCGATATCACATGTCCAATTCAGTAGAAGCAGCCTGAACATGAGCTTTGCCCTTATTCTTAAAGTTTGGGACCTTAGAGGCGAGTGGTGGACGCTGCTGGGTCACATTTCTTCCTTTAGATGCGACACTCTTTTGACCTTGGGCCCATGGTTGGGCTTGCCACTCATTGTTACGGCCACAACGGTTCTTTCATCGTTTATGGCTGCTAGAATAGGTCGTATGCGCTTCAGGCACAGCGTTCGAGCCAGTGGGTCGAGCTTGATGATTCTTCATCAAAAACTGGTTCTGTTTTTCAACGAGAAGTAAAACAGAGATCAAATCTGAAAACTTGGTGAATTTATGTGCCCTATATTGTTGCTGCATGACAATATTGGTGGCATGAAAGGTCGAATAGGTATTCTCCAGGAGATCTGATTCGGTTAGTTCCACTTTGCAAAATTTCAACAGAGAACGGATTCTACAAACTTTAGAGTTGTATTCATTTACGGACTTAAAGTTCTGGAAGCGAAGATACTGCCAGTCGTGTCTTGCTTCAGGCAAATTTATGTCTTTCTGGTGATCGAAATGGTCGGCCAGAGCAAGTCAGAGGGTGCGTGGGTCTTCCTCAACGAGATACTCAGTTTGCGGTGCATCATGAATGTGTCTTCGGATGAAGATCATTGCAGTAGCTTTCTGAGATTCGTCAACATGTTTGTCAGTGATAGGTGCCTCGATGGTGGCTCTAATACCCTTTACAGTGAGATGGAGCTTCACGTCTTGAACCCACTTAAGATAGTTTCTTCCAGAGACTTATAGAGCGGAGAAATTGAGCTTGTTCAAGTTCGACATGTCCCTAAAACGGAGGGAGAAAATGTGATTAGTCATATGGTAAGCCATAGACATATATCGTAGAACATACAGGTTCTATATACATGTAGTGGTTTAATTTATGCATGAAAACTACGGGTTTCATGTGGTATGTTTTGAATGAAAACTTCGGGTTTCAAAGGCACTAAATTTGAAACTACATGTTTAATTTAGTTTTATGAACAATTAGTTCATAATGAGAGGTTCCTACAAGAAACACATAATGCAATATACTAACTAAATGTAGTGGATTTGAGATTATTCGGGAACCTAAGAGCAAGTCCATCCCTAAGGACCTTGCGCCAGCACCTAGCGCATTTATCCACTCAAGTGAACAGTAATAGACTGGAGTGAACAGTAATAAGCCAAGGCATCTCCACCCCTAAAAAAAATGCGCTGGCACCCAGCGCATTTATTTGGTGTGTTTTTTTTTTAAGTTTATTTCGGATAAGATTTTTAACCAATTTCGGATAAAATTTCAAATAAACTTAAAAAAAAATACACACTAAAATAAAATTACATACTCATCAAATAAACTTAAAAAAAAACACACTAAATAAATGTGGTGTAAGGTGGAAGATGAGGGTTAGGTATTTATAGAAAAAAAAACTTTTTTAAAATTTTACTGTATTTAAAAAAAAATGTATTTTTTAATATTTTTTAATTAATTTTAATGTAGTTAATTAATCTAGATTGTCGGATTTGAAAAATATTCAAATCCAATAGCCCAGGATCGGCCACATGGCCATGCGCCAGCAAATGGCCCAGCTTCTTGGTCAGCCTGTTTTGTGCTCAGAGACCAGCATGGGCTAGGTGCCAGGCTGTTGCACAGGTTGGGGGACATGGACAGGGTGCTGGGCTGCTATTTGGACTGAGTGCTGGGCAAAGTCCACTCCGGTGGACTTGCTCTAAGTGTGAAAGCTTCGTGACTATGAAAGTATGTGATGATTCAAAGTATAAAAATAAATTATTGAATCGTTAATGTCCAAAAGTGATATTCAGGTCAATAATTTTGGATTCATTATCAGATTAATGGACTGCATGTCACATTTAATTAATTCAATAAATCGAGCCATACGAGGTCAATTGTAAAAGCTAAATAATATTATTGGATAAAACATATAGCCCTAAAATAATTTTGGGCTTGGTGCCGTGCGTTATAGGTCACCAGTTTGGGTGCTTTAAGCATAAGGCAAGGCCCAAATATCCTTGGATGGTGGCTGCAGGCCATGGGATGGACATCAGAAGCCCCAATCGTAGCTGGGTTGTGTTTTGGGCTGCAAAGGAGTGCATGGACAGGTCCAACGCAAGCTGGCCTGTGGGTTTGTGTGGGAAAAACGAAGGCCATCATATAGGCTGGCTACAGTTGATGCAGCCCGGGACGCGGGCCAGGGTGCAGGCTGTGGGCCTGACAGCTCAGCAACCTTAAAGGTTGCAGTGTGTAGGGAATAGGACCCCATCCAATCGGAGCTGGGTTGTGTGAAGGCTACGGGCCTTGGTGCAAGGGTGAGGGGCTGCAGGCCCATCCATTTGGATCCTAGGCCGATACCTGATATCAGTTTGCACAGAGAAGGTGCGGTGTTATGGCGCACCATGCCCTAGTTTCCCTTTTTCTTTTTTTTTTTCCAAATCCCTTAGGGTTTAGGAAAAACCCTAAATATACTTCTAATTTATTTTGTATAATTTGACTCACAAATTCCACATAACAATTTAATTGTGTGATGCATGAAACAAATATATATATATATATATATATATATATATATATATATATGACAATATATAACATATACATATATATATATATATATATATATATATATATATATATATATATATATATATATATATATATATATATATATATCGAAAGGAAAAGATAAACATAAAGGGGTTCATGCATCATGGGGAATGTTTTCATGCTTCGTGGATGTTTCAAATATAACTTTTATTTTAAGCGTACTTGATTGGCAGTATATAAAAAGGTTAATCGTGTATTTTGATACTTAAATGCATTTATATGAACAAAAATTACAAAATCTGTCACTGCAGCTGACACACACTTCAACTAACACTCTGTTTCTCATAGTTTTTATATTTTGGAATAAGGCAATACAAATCAATGCAGTGTCTGTTTCCTTATTTCGTTTTTTACATTTGGATTCAAATGTTGCACTGCATTGTCCATTTATTGGTTTTTTTTTTTTTCATCACTCACACGCCTCCTACATGTTCATTTTTACATTTAGATTCAAACATTGCAATGTAGTGTCCATTTCCTGGTTCCTTTTTTTTTTTTTTTTTTTTAATTGAGCAGATTCCTCCATGTAACAGAGTTACAAAGGGCGAAAGAGAGTGATAATATATATATATATATATATATATATATATATATATATATATGTCCTAACTATTTATAGGATTCATATCTCAATATCAGTTCCTTAGGGATCCAACAAACATCTTCCCCTTCCTCTCTTCCCTCTCAACTCCTCTTTCTCCCTTGCACTGCCACACCCCACCGCTGTTAACAAACCCAAAATTCAATTGCAGGTCATCTGTGCTCTAAGTCTGATTTATTTTTTTACTCTCTCCTACTGTTTTAACTTTTTTATTTGTTCCCTATTTCTTCTTTTTCATCTTCGAGATTTCTCTCTCAACTATAACTTTGTTTCTCTCTATATAATTCTTCCATAGTTATGAAAAATATCTCTGTAACCAAAAGACATTGGTTTGCATGACCTCTCTATTTGATGTTTTGTTAATATTGGTTGAGATTTTAGGATCGAGGGACCTGCAATTGAGGGATGCGGCGATACTAAGACTATTTTTGAGGAGGGTAAAGTGAAGGACTTGCATGGTGATTATTGGTTGTGGTGGTGTTGGGATTGATTTTGAATTGGGGTTGAATTTGATCTGGAATTTAGGGGGCAGTTGGTTTGAGGTTGAGAGCTTCGAATGAGGGAGAAAGATGAGAGTTGAAAGGAACAGAGAGAAGATCAGAGATTTTGGCCATTGGATTTGTATCAATGGATAAGATCCATCGGTTCGGAGGATCCTCACAAAATTGATCTAGAGAGGATTTAAATCCCTATTTGTAATAGCTTAAAGCCCATATGACATTCATAGAGAAAGAAAGAGGGAGAATGATAGAAAAGTCAATTTCTAACTCTTTATAATGACTTAAATCTTATGTGGCATTTATTATTGACCTGTACATAATCAATAAAAACATATAATTGATTAAGTTCAAAACAAAAATATGTCATTGATATACGACTTAATAGTAAAACTTTTATTGACTCTTGGCCAAATTACCTCTATTTAATTATGTTTTTAATTCTTTAACGAATTTATAATTTTTCTTTTATGCCTAGGAATTTATAATTTGTTGTAAATATTAAAAATAAACTTTTATATTAGTTTCTTGTCCACGTGGTCCAAATTTGACCACGACTTCATCACAAATATAAGATCTACGTTTGTCACCTCATCATTTAACAGTTAGAAAAACAGATATTTTGACAGAGTGGACTATGCTATGTTTAACTATTCACTATATAGACCTAAGCAGGCTCATATGCGCCCGGCCTGCATTAAAGTAGGCCCATATAAATGTAAATCTAAATAAACAAATGTTTGGGTCGACATATATAAACAGACTGTTATGGGGTCGAAAACATAAATAATATAAAGATTTTGGCAAACATCTAATAACAAAACTTTAGGCGCGTTATAAGATAGACCTAAAGGGCAGAAGGAAAAGTATGCACTGACTCCCGGCATTCAGTCTGCAGCAGTGTTGTTCTCTCCGTTTGCGCTTTCGTCTTCGTTCCTGCCTCTCGATCCCCCTCTCTCTCCTCCTTCCGGTATCTCTCTCCCTCTCTCTCTCTCTCTCTCTTGTGTTATTAGGGTTTGATTCGTTTCGCCTTCTCTATCGATAGATCTCTCTTTTGTCTGTTTTGCTCTTCGTGCCCTAGTTTTTTTCTTCAGAGTGGTTTTATATTTTGTTCTCTCAATTCAGATTTCCTTCTCTCTTACCCACGGTACTGGGTAGGTAACGGATTTGAGCATCGATGATTGTTTAATGGGATTATTATCATAAGTTGATTCTGTTTTTGTCCGTCTTTGGTTTTGCGAGCTAGGGTTTTTCGATTTTTTAATTTGGGATTTCAATTTTATTGCTTTTTCGCATATATGATTATGGTTATGGTTTTTCTAGCGAATTCTGATTGTTTTACGATCTGGGTTTAATGGTTTTAGATGGGGATCAAGTATAATACGTGTGTAGAGGTTCTTCTTTTAATTGCTATGTGTGTAGCAGCTTTGTTCAGTTAGATATCTAATTGTTGATTATCAATTAGGGTTTTGAGGATCCAAATATCAATTCTTTGTGGGTTTGATTTGTCAAGAGTTTTGTTTTTGTTTTAATGAAAGAATAAGAATTTACTTTGTTTTGATGCTTCCTGTGTTTGTTGCTTAGTTTGCAGTTATTTTTTCTTTGGTTTTCATGTATTGATTGGAGTTTGTGTTCTAATATGTTGGAAACAGGTCTTCTTTTTGCACCTGATGTCTTTTGATCTCAACCTGAAACTTTCATCAGTTATTAGAGCATTTTGTTTTATGAGCCGAGGCCGGCTGTGGAGGTCGCGAAGGATATTGTTCCGAGACTGTACCTAGCCCTCCTTTTCCCGGGGGGACAGGGGGGAGTGTTGTTTGATAATAGTCTTTGTTCTGTAATCAAGAGTTCAGCTACTTGGTTCTTTCTGTCAGGGAATATTGGTAGGAAGAGGGGTTGTAATCAGGTAGTTGAACTCTAATTTTTAATTTTGTGATGGGGAAAATGTTTAAGGCTCCTGGGTTTCGGTTTCAACCAACCGATGTTGAGCTTCTAAAATACTTTTTGAAGCGGAAGTTAATAGGGAAAAGGCTCCATGTTAAAGTCATCTCAGAGGTTGACGTTTACAAGTATGATCCTTGGGATCTTCCAGGTATGGTTCACGTTGCTTTCTCTTCTTTGAATTATTTACCTATCATCTATGTTGTTGTTGAAGTTGTTTTGCTTGTAAGGATCTCCATAGTCTTTCATTCTTTGAATCATGTGGTTTCTTACTATGTTTTGCTTTTACACTTCAGACAAATCTGGCTGGGACAGTGGAGATCTGAAGTGGTATTTCTTTTGTCCGAGAGAAAAGAAATATGCACGTGGGAATAGAATTCAACGTGCTACTGTAGGTGGTTACTGGAAGACCACTGGAAAGGATAGGTCTGTTCTTCGCAGCGGTGCAGTTGTCGGGTGGATAAAAACTTTAATTTTTCATACCGGTCGAGCCCCACATGGAGATCGAACGGATTGGGTTATGCACGAGTATAGGCTTGAAGATCAGGGCCTGGCTGATAGGGGTGTACCTCTGGTAAGTCATTCCCTTCCTCTTTCCATTATTTTTAGTTTTACTTCCTCCTCTCTTTTTCTTTACAATGGAATTGATGTTCCATGTAAAATGGAACTAAAGATTATTTGTCTGTGTTCTGTTATTGTAGCAACCATGTGGATTCTATTTCCATTATTTTTAGTTTTACTTCCTCCTCTCTTTTTCTTTACAACGGAATTGATGTTCCATGTAAAATGGAACTAAAGATTATTTGTCTGTGTTCTGTTATTGTAGCAACCAAGTGGAATCTATTTCATGTATCAAAAATTGGATTGATCATGTTGGTATTTGCATTCCTCCATTCTTTGTTATACTGGCAGGTTATATCGATTGACTTTTTTGGTTCTTTTGATGTTGCAGGACTCATACGTTCTCTGTATGATTTTTCAAAAAGAAGGGCTAGGGCCAAGAAATGGTGCGCAATATGGTAAACCTTTTAATGAGGAAGACTGGAGTGATGACGAGGTTGCTGAAGGATTTGAAGATGCAAACACACCTGGCCCATATCTGGGGCTGCTGTGCAACGAAAATAGTCCAATTGCTAATAATACGCATTCTCTTGAGGATATTGGCATAGGTCCTCCATCTGGATCATGCATATCTGATATTTTACCGCAGTCTTGCAAAGTTCTTCAACCAGTTTCCAGTAACTATGTTACGATGGAGAAGTCTCATGCTTCCCATGGTGATGACATCCTGCCAACTTTTGATTACTCCAGAGAAGAAAACACTTTCTTTATGAGTGAGAATGGGAAAAGTATGGCTCAAATCCATTCAGAAGCAGTTCCTAATGCAAGCATGCCCAAGCTAAATCATGTGCTGCCAAGCAACCATAATGGTTTTGCTTCTACTAGTGCATTCTTTTCTGAGAGAATAGGCATTGGTCCATCTGAATCATTCATGTCTGATATTGCGCCACCACATTCCAATGCTCTTCAACCGGAAACTGGTAATTATGTTACAACAGAGAAGGCTCATATGTCTGATGGTGATATCCTTTCGATGTTTGATTACTTTCCTGAAGAAAGCACTCTTTACATGTATGGAAATGATAAAATTGAGACTGGAGGTTGTTTAGAAACAGTCCTGAATGCAAACATTCCTGAGCCAGGCCAAGTGCTTGCGAGCAACTATAATACTTTCATCTCTACTAATACCCAGTCTTCTGAGGTTATAGGCATTGGTCCTTCATTTCAATCATGCGGAATTGATGTTTTACCACCTTCTTGGGAGGTTCTCCAACCGGTCTCCTGTAATTATGTTGCAATGGAGAAGACTCCTGCTTCTAATGGTGATGACATCCTGCCAATGTTGGATTGCTTTGCAGAAGAAAGCACTTTTCTTATGAATGAGAATCACAATAATGAGGTGTGTATGCGCCCTTCTCTTTTTTCCACATGTAGTCAATGCAAATATCATTCCTTATTTAGTGGCTCGGTGTTTGGTTCTTCTGTTATCTGTTTTGTTTTATCCCAGTACCATAGTCTGTTATCACTTCTTTAGATGTGTTTGCCATTTTCATTGTTGTCTCTGGGCATATGTTAGCTTTTTATTTGGTTCTGTGAATCTTGCAACTATTTGTTTCTTGTTTATCTGTGAGAAATGTTCAGTGTTCTTATGGTAATCTTATGAAGTGTTGTTAGACTTGGAAGCCTTTTTTTTTCCTGTCATTTTTTGTTTAAATTGTGGACTCATTACCAATACATATTTGCAAATGCAGTCAAATAATTTGTTTCCTTTTTTCATCTGATGCTTATTTTATATATATGTTTGGTGATCCTCTTTTTGCTACTGTTTTTCCTTCTTTGTTATCCTCTGCTGACTGATTAGGAGATTCTTTCTTGTCATGTTTTCTGGATCCTTCTCTCTTTGCTTTCCAACGAGTAATGGTATGCTACTGCTTACATTAGCCAACAATGGTATTTATTGGCAGTTTCAATGTACAAATGTCTTTTGAAGCATGAGTTTCAAACTCGATGGCATACTGTTACTTTTAGCCTTTAAATTTTCTTGCATACATGTGTGGATATCTGTTTCTACAAGCATAAGATTTGTACAAGTAGATTTATACGTGCACATTATCTTGCTAGTGTTGTCTTACTTTTTTTCATGGGTTTGCTTCTTGCTTGAAGGAACTGGATAATTTCATTGATTTTGGCAACAACGCTCAAGCTATACCTCATCTGAATACAAGCAATATGTATGAAAATTTAGAAGACTTGGGCAACAACCTAGACGGATACAATTTCTCTGGCGTGCATGATGATTCTGCGAATCATTTTTTGGAGCTAGGTGACCTTGACCAACCAATGAATGGCGATAATTCTGTGTAATTTCCTCTAGTGGAAGGGATCTATGGGTTTGAATTTATCAGTGAAGAGGCAGAGGCTCCAGATCGCATATTTGTGAGTGAAGTGGTTCATTGACTTCCTCCATATTATTATTGTCAATAATGATCAATTGGGTGCTGTGATCTCCCTTTTTATTTGACTCTCCATATTATCCGTTGGTAATTTGATAATAACTGTTTGTTGCAAAACTGAGCGCAGGCGTTCTAGAATTCATACAGCCGATCCCATTTAGTGGGATAAGGGTTTGTTGCTTTGTTGCAAAGACAGGAGTGTAAGTTTTACAATTCAGTATTATGTTATCATTTTCTTATAATTTTCTTTTCACAGAATATTTTCCTTTAAATGAGATTAAAAGTTCGATGAATTAATGAACATTTGACCAAAATTGATAATTGAAGTAAACAAGAAGATCAAAATTAACAAATTTGTAACCACAATGCCTAAAAGAAAAAAAAAATCCTTTATCCAAGATATGAACCGTACGTTTCGCGATCTACATGCAAAAGCCCCTGATTTACAGTAGGTAAGAGTGCTTTGGTGTCCAGAGTGCTACATCCTCTTGAACTTACTCCGTTTTAAGTTTAGACTTTCCTTTACTATTAGCGTGGAATAGACTAGTGATATCGCTTGTAATAAAAATAAAAGAACGTTTGGTTTAGTAGTCTATTCCAATTATGCGTTTTTACCTATTTTTCCTCATCACTTATCACCCTCTTATTAGTCCTCCTTCTGTTCATGTCCTCCTTTGCAAAATGTGACTTTCCCTAGACTTTTGTTCCAACTGAATTGGGAGTATCTCCAGTTGTGTAGGCAAACATAATAGGCAAAGTTGTAGTATAAAAGCTGACGTGACAAGTTGCATAATCAATTGGCTTATGAAAAAAAAATGTGTCACTCTAATCTAATGAAACATGCAAATCAAGGAGGCAAAATTGTAATTTACTACTGTCTTTCACTGTTGATATTTATTTTTATCTTTTATTTTTGTCTTCTTCTCCTGACATCAAATGCTTTAGATATGGGGGTCTAATTTTGCCTACACATGTAGAAATAGGCGATGTTGCCTATTTTGGGGGAGTAGGAAACGTTTACCTACTCAATTGACTACTCCATTGCAGCCGACATGGCTCATCAAAAAGAATTTAGCTACTCATTTGCTTACTCCATTAGAGATGATCAGATTATCCTTAATTCTGGTTCATGCAACGTATCAGCCCACAGATTCTATGATGCTAATTTTGATAAAAAAAAACAAAATAAATTTAAAATAAAACTAGTAACAAAAATAATTTTGATTGAAATCCAAGTTCAATGCAACTTTTGATTTTGATACGAAAACAGACAAGTAATTAAAAAGAGGCTGTAAATCTAATGCAAAAAAAAAAAAAAATACAAAAAAAATGGAAGTTTAAGCTTGTTAGCTCGAAGGCTGATCGATCAGTGACATCCGTTGTTCTTATGACGTATTATTCTCCGAGAGTCATAACTTCCTTCTCCAATTCTGTTAAGTCGTGATATCGATGCGTTCTCTTCAATGTACTACTTCTCTCGAGCGTTTCTATTGTGTTAACCCTTCCCTTCTCTTTGACGATGTTGTTGAGAAAGAAACAAGACACGTTCTTAACAAGCACACCAAGCAAGCTTCCGATACCCGAACCCATCTCCGATGTCTCAATGTCCTTCATCTCCGGCCTAAGTGCTGAATTCTTTGTCTGATCAGTGAAATTATCCAATGGATTTATAATTCTTCGTCTGTGCCTGCAGGATGCCACCTCTATTTATATCAGAAAAGGCATGGCTGGTTAGCTTGTGGGAGCTTTCCTCAAAATATATCCAATGGAGACCCCGTAGGGAATCGGAGCATTATTGTATAGTCTCTCCAATTAGGGTAAGTTCTAAAGTAAGAGTTTTAAGTAAGGCCGTTTATCACCATCCAAGCAATACTTTGGGCAATAAGAGTATAAAGAGTTTATGACAAATATATGAATCTCTACAATCTCACAATTCTCAAAATGCTAATTCAAATTCTTTTCCGTAAGGAGATATTTATAAGATTACAAAGGAGCAAACTAGGAAATAAATCAAAACAATCCTTTGTCTACAAGACAAGGAAACCTAGACCAAATCAAATCATATAAAAACCCTAATTAAATCATATAAATTCACTAATTAAATCAAATCCTACAATACTTTCCTTTTTATTTTCCAACAAGAAGCCTACAGTCCAATCAATTATAACGCTCTTGTGGGAAAGATTACTCAGACGTAGAACTCCAACCACCACTAGTGAATTGCCTCGGTGGTTAAGATCTTTTCTTTGATCACTATGTTCTATATTCAAACCCTCCTCTTTTCATAGTGTAAATTAAATTAGTAATATCGCTGACATTGAAAAAAAGAGGCAACTCTCCTTTTCTCCAAACGAGCCCTTAATATATTGTAGTACTTTATAACTTATGTTTTATAATACAATTACATAACTATTTTTAAATATAAATAGACATTTATTTATATGTTACACAATAAATTATTTTATAAAAAAATTAATCAAAATATATAAATAAAAAAAAACCCTAGGCCCCGCTGAAAATATATTTATTTAGAAAATATCACGTTCACCAATTATGGCAGTGTAGTTTTTGCTGTAATTTGTAGTTTTTTGTTTTTTGCATGTGACGTTTTATTGCAGTAGTGAAAATTAATCATATCTTTGTATTTTGATGTGTGTTCATCTTCACCCCACTGATTTCTCTCCCTCATAACAACTACCTAATCCACTACCACTATCACTCTACTTCAAAAGGAAAAAACAACTCACCTATTGTTTTCCTTTTTTTTTTTTGTTGTGACACCGAAAACAAAGCTACATTGCCTTAATTGGTGAATTTCCTTAATATAGTAAATGCGTTGGAGATTTTTTTTTAAATTTTTTTGTGAATTTCCTTATCATTCATTTCTTTAACAAGTTTCTTCCAGATCAGATTTTTTTTTTCTTTAAAAAGAATTTCATACTGAATATCTAGTCAAATTACAAGAAAATGACAATTATGGTAAATGCAAAAATAAACAAATATAATTCCTTTTTTGCCATTTCATCCCTATCTCTTCCTAATGTGTTTGTACTAATATGGAACAAAACCCGCACAAGGAATTTACACCCTCCATTTACCATATTTGTCTGGATACACTGAACCAGAACAATTAGAAAGTCTGTAACTTCTCTAAATTCACTATATAAAACAAAACAAAACCCCCATCCATATATCACTGACAAGACAAACAAGCTAGCTAAGGACTCCCCATGAAACAAATAGCTATGGACTTCCACCTACCATCTCTTGTTACTTTTGTGGTAGCATCATTGGCCTTTTCATTGTTCCTCTACTCTATATATTTTCAGTCAAGAATAGCAGTCAGAAAACTACCACCACAAGCCGGAGGTGCATGGCTGATAATCGGTCACGTCCCCTTATTATTACGTTCATCTGAACCACTACATTTGTTGTTAGCTCAATTGGCGGACATGTATGGACCGATCTTCACTTAATTTTATGTTCGGAGTGAAGAGAACCCTAGTTTTGAGCAGCTCAGATATGGCGAAAGAGTGCTTAAAGAAAAAAGTGTTTGCTAGCCAAGTTAGCTCTTTAGCCTCCGAAATTTTGGGCTATAACTATGCCTACTTTCCTTTCAGCTCTTACGGCTACTACTTTAGTCATGTACAAAAGATGGTCATGGCTGAGCTCTTATAGCCCCACCGCACACGTCGAGATGCTCAAACACTTCAGAGAATCTGGAGTGAGTGCATCGATAAAAGAAATATACGACCGGTGGACGAAGAACAAGAAGAGTGGAAAAGGTATTCAAAGATTGGCTTCGAATGAATGCGACTTTTGTAGTATCGGACGTAAAAGAATTAGACGTCAACAACCCTAAAAGCCTAAAAAAAGTCCAGGAAGAGATAGACCAAAATACTGGCAGAGAAAGGGCAGTAAAAGAATTAGACGTCGACAACCTGGTCTATCACCAAGCCGTTATCAAAGAAACTCTCCGTTTATACTCTTCCGGACCAACCTTACTGCCCCATGCATCGACAGAAGATTGCTTCACAGCCGGCTACCACATCCCAGAAAAGACTCGCGTCCTCGTCAACATTTGGAAGATTCATCGACACCCAAAGGTCTGGCCCGATCCAAATGAGTTTCGATCGGAACGATTTTTCACAACATACAGCGACATTGATGTTAAAGGTCAGAATTTTGAACTGATACCATTTGGCAGTGGAAGAAGAACGTTTGCCGGAATAGTGCTTGCCCTCAGGATTATGCCATTGATCCTCGCTTCTTTGCTTCATGGATTTGAAATCGCAACTCCGACGGGTGAGCCAGTTGACATGCGTGAGTCAATGGAATTTACCAACCATAGAACCTCCCAACTTGAAGTCCTTCTCACTCCGCGCCTTCCTGCTCAAGTATATGTAAATAAGGCAACTTTGCTATTATTTAGGGCACAGGTTACATACAAGTGATGATTTGAGTTTTCATAAACTCATGAGAGGCATCACTAGGATTTGCACTAATTTGATTACCTCTCTTAAGATTTAGTATTATGTTACTAAATCATGTTTAAGTTTTTGTTTTAAGGGGCTTCTAGATCTTAATAAATAAATAAACCTTGTGCTGCTATTAGAAAATTTTGTTTTTATAAATAAAAAGACATTGTGCTGCTATTTGAAAAAAAAAAAAAACATGCATCCTCTGGATCTAAAGCGAATGTGAACCATACTTGTGCTCGTCCTGTGCCCATATACTACAGTAATAGACACCGGTGCAATCACAATACATAATGAGTAGATATGATATAAAGATGTCATGCCACATGATTATGCTCACAATGAACATAATAAACATAAAATGTATGAAAAGTCTAGTTGTATGCAAAACATAGCATGTCACAACAGTTATATATGCAAAAACAGTTATTGAGGAAAACCATATAAATATATAAAACATTTGTAAAGCAAAAACACCCACTCAATGTTATGTCACGAGACGTAACTGCATACTTATTTTGCACGCGGTACTCCTTTACGTATTCTTATGACAAATTACTACAATATTCATTAAACTAATAATAATTAAAGTAATAAGCCTAATTTCGTCTTAGTTTGCCCAAGAGCGAGATTTAAAACGATTGAAAATTGGTTTGAAGTAGCACGCACCAGCCAAAGCCGCCATGCTATGGACTTGAGTTTGACTGAGTTTTAGTAGTCATTAAAATTGACAAAATATACTTATGTCGTTAGTTATATTCTAACTGTGACAATCTGTCCCAAATTTTATAAATTTTAAAATGTAAAATTACGAATATGCTCTAAAGGTGAAGGTTTTGACTTTCATTGACCAACGTGTTGTGAGATGTATTAGATATTCTTTTAGCGTATTCTTGAAGTACTCGACGATACGAACAAGTATGCGCAAGCAGAAGTGAATTTGGAGTGACGAACCAAAAGTATTTTGAAGAAATAACTATTCTAATTATATTATATTATTGTATATTAATTAAGAGGACATGTGTGTGTGGGGGGGGGGGGGGTGTGGGGGTGACGGAAAGGAAGAAAAAGAAAGAAAAAAAAAAGGGCATTGGCTGCCCAATATGTGAAGGAGATGAGGAACGAACTAGGAGAAGAGGGAGGAGAGTCCAGCCAATCACGGGGAAGAACAAGGAGAGAAAGGAGAGGGGTAAGGAGCACCCAAATTGGACCCGTGCACCACACACCCGACCCAGTTTCGAACCGGTGAAATTCCGGCCAAATTCCCACCATTTTTCCGACGAAACATAACCATTTATCATTTGCAACCTCTTCCATAACCTCTCCTCTACTCTCTTCACCCAAAATTAGGAAAAGTTTAGTTGAAATTTGGTGGAAAACTTGACACGCCCCGATCCCGATATTCCCCGAATACCAGGATAGACACGTGTTGGCCGACACCCAAGGGTAACGAAAGCCATTTATTGAGTGCAAATGCTGAAAACAAGGAATAGATAGAACTTATAATTGTAAAAGAATAAGGAATATGCATTTAAAGAACGTGTTCAGAGCATACAACTAACTAGAATACTAAAAGAAATAATATAAAATTGAATGAATAAAAGAATGGGTCCTACACCAAGAAGACTCGAAGATGCCGATGCGGAAGTGTGGATGTCGGGATTGTATGCCTCGATTCTAAGTCTTGAAAGGGGCGCAAAACAAACATGAGTGGACCAAGTTGATATATATATATATATATAATAAAACAGTTTTCAACGTACTAACCCCCAGGTTTTATGAAAACACATATATAATGATAAACATAGGTTTTCCGAAGCCTAGCATGCCGTGCAATGTCTCAATTCATAACTTGTATATTAGTGAGTGTTCGATAACCCCTAGGCCCCATGCCGGCTCCCTGTCTCTGAGCAGACAGTCAGAGGAAAATACACTTGAGACCCCATGCCGACTCCCCGTCCCTGTGCTAAATAGCTAGAGGAAACACGCTCTAGGCCTTATGACAACACCAAACCGTCGCTCGGGATGGACCAAAATCCATCCCTACGTCTCGTAGCAGAAATGACCACTAGGTAAGTACAAAACCATTGAACATATATATATTGAAAAGTAACTTCATAGTATAAAGTCATCCATCATCTATACTATAAAGAGGTGTTCGAAACATGCTCTAAATATCATATTGTCATCCATCGGATATTATATAAGAACATGAGTTATAAGAAAAATAGTAATAATTCAAACTAGCCTCAGTAAGCATGTTATTTCAAAGCGTTTCATAAAACGTAATCATTAAATCATGTCTTTCATGTATGCATTTCTACTATTAAAACATGCATTTTTAGAAGGGGCCCACTCACTGTACTTGGCCGCCAAAAAGCCATGCAACTAGCAAAGACAGAAACGCCACTATAATTGCCCTTAAGCACATAAAGGGTCAAATTAATAAAACTATATAATAGCAATTGAATTTGGGAAAATGGACGTAAAAAACGGATTCAGGACGTCAAAATTAGCCTAAGAGAGGTTCCGGGTTAAGGGTTTTGAGGGTTGGCTTAGGATGCACGGGCCTAAGGCCCTAAAGGCCTTTAGTTTAGTAAATAAAAATAAAAACAACTTAAAGTAAATGGTTTTTGGGTTTTAAGGAGGATGGGCTGAAGGCCCTAATTTAAAATGGCCCAAGGTCCTTTTACATTAAAACAATAAATAAAAGAAATAATAAAAACTGAAATGGGTTTTGGGTTGGGCTCGGCAGGAAAGGCCCAAAGGCCTTGGGATTTCTGGGTTGCCGGATTCAAAGGAAGGAGAATGCCGGATTTTGGCCGGAAAGCTACACCAATTTTAAACGGCCATAACTTTGTCAAAACTCAACGAAATCGAGTGATTCAAAAACAAAAGTTGTAGTACTCAGCGAGACGAAGAGATTGATACCTTGCAAGTAGGCCAAATCGCCATAGTTTGGCCAGAAATTGCCTCGAAAGTGGTGGTGCTCGCCGGAAAATATGGAGAATGCTCCCTGAGCAGTTTTCACGTTTAAACTGTAACATCCCACATCGCCCAGGGGAGTGATTCTTAAATGTATATTCGCATCCCTACCTAGCACGAGGCGTTTGGGGAGCTTACTGGCTTCGGGTTCCATCGGAACTTGGAAGTTAAGCGCATCGCCCAGGGGAGTGATCCTTAAATGTATATTCCCATCCCTACCTAGCTCGAGGCATTTTGGAAGTTCACTGGTTTCGGGTTCCATCGAAACTCCGAAGTTAAGCGAGTAACGCGCGAGGTCACTCCCATGATGGGTGACCCACTGGGAAGTTCTCGTGTGAGTTCCTAGAAACAAAACCGTGAGGGCGTGGTCGGGGCCCAAAGCGAACAATATCGTGCTACAGTAGTGGAGTGGACCCGGGATGTGGTGGACCCTGGGCTGGGATGTGACATAAAGCTCACCAAAAACCACTTTTTAGCAACCACTAAGCCTTCTAGACTACCATGGAGGAAGATGGAAGAGTGGTTCAACTTACCTTCGTTAGAAAACACTTGCACATTGACTGTGCATAGTGCCAAAGATAGACCGGAGATGTGAGGGAGAGAATGGAGGTCCGAGTGATGGTGATGGGTGGTGCGTCATGGCCAGTTGGGTGTGAGGATGAGTGTGTGTGTGTGTCATCGGAGAGCCACAGTGGTGAATGCGTGAATGTGGTGCTCAGGTCGAAAGAGAAAGAGCAGAGAGAGTTGAGAGAAGAAAGAGGGAAAGAGGGAAAGAAGAAGGTCATAGGGGGACACACAAATAAAGGGGTGGGTCCCTTGGGCTCACTAATTAAGAATTAAAAACCATTTTTAAATAAAATAAGGGTGGGGTTTAACAAAACCACCATAGGTGCCGCGGGTATCCTTAGCCGAAATCCATCAATTATGAAATGTTTTTCTCCAATTACCACCACTAGAACACTCCCATAAAACCCAGGAACAAAGCCCAAGTAGTGATGGAGGCGTTGAAACAAGTTTGGAGGTCGAATCGAACATACCCAAAATCTAAGGTTCCGGCGGGTTTGAGCAAAATTGGAGCTTTTCCAGGTCAAATTGGCCTTGGCCGCAGGTATAAAGTTTGCTCTACTCTTTGAGATCTTCATTTTTGTAATTTTTGAGAATTTTTAGAAATAGTTGAATTTTCCGGCGAGCTGAGGCGGCCAACTGCCACCCGCGGCGGCTGGTGCGGCGGCGTGTGGCCAGAGGGCTGTCGATGTTATTCTTAGGATAATTAGATTCCTTGAATTCAGTTTTGAGAATTGCATGACGTAGATTGATCGTTAGAACCAAAATTCTCTAAGATACGTTAATAGACCATTATATTAATCGACGATCCGACCGTTAGATCGTCATCAAACTTTACTAGGTTATCATTCATAATATTTGAGGAATATAGGAACTTCTCTAATTGGATTTGTAAGTTCGTAAAATAAAATGTTAACTGCCACTTGGTTTTGGCAATTGGCGGAGATCCGACCGTTGGATCGTTCTGAAACTTTAGTATGTTATTCTAGAAGCATAATGTGGATCCTTGGAAGTTACGGATTAGAGATCTGATTTGTAGATCTTCTGGACCGAATTACGTAGACTCATGTGCGATGTAAGTTATGTATTGTATCGACGAGAATTCTGAGATAAGGTTCAATAATTGGTCACAAGTGCCGATTGTTCGTGACGCCTCGATGTTTGTACTAGGAAGTTATAGCGTGAACTTTAGGTGAGTGGATCTTTCCTTACTTATCATATTTTTTCGTGATTGATAATTCTATAAATGCTTTTAAATCAAACTGAGAAATTTATGCCATGACATATATATATATATATATGTTATAAAATACTATGAGATCGTTGAGTTTAGATTTCATCATGATATATCCATATGCGTATTACCATAAATGATTATTGTGAACTATGAATGACTTGATCCTTATTTAAGGTACGTAGGCAGTCTA